ATGGGCGATCAGGCAGTCAGATGAATGGTTAGGAGCCAACAGTCTCAGATTGCAAAGGGTGCAGGCCGGGCTGAGGGACACCCCGCTATAGTGCATGAATTTCATGCACTGGGCCTCTAATATAGTATAAAAGGACATCCCTGGCTGGTGTGGCTCAGTTGGTTGAGCATTATTCCATGCACCAAGTGGTTCACGGTTCGATTCCCATCAAGGCACATGCTCAGGCTGCAGGTTCCATCCATAGCAGAAGATGTGCAGGAGGCAGCCAGTCCATGTTTCTCTCTCTTCCTGTCCTTTCCTCTGGTAAGTGAATATGCTAATAAATGCAAAAAAAATGGTTAATATCCACTAGGGAAGTGGTTCTCAACCTTCTGGCCCTTTAAATACAGCTCCTCATGTTGTGACCCAACCATAAAATTATTTTCATTGCTACTTCATAACTGTAATGTTGCTACTGTTATGAATCATAATGTAAATATCTGATATGCAGGATGGTCTTAGGCGACCCTGTGAAAGAGTCGTTTGACCACCAAAGGGGTCACGACCCACAGGTTGAGCACTGCTGCTATAGGGAATAAATTTAAAACTTCAGGAGTATATTTTCTACCAGAATAAAAATCAATTTATTTGCATCACTATGAACACGGGTCATTGCATTACAGTTGGTTTTCTACAAATTAACCCATTCTAAATAGAAAGTCAATCAATCATTAATGCATCAAGGACCCATTCAACAATCCCCAGCATTCCACTGAAGGGACACACAGTAGCTATCTATCTTTGTTCTACCATTAGATAATTTTTTTTATTATGTATTGGTTTCAGGTGTACCGCTTAGTGGTTAGATAATCATATACTTTACATAGTGTTCCCCTTGATATTTCCAGTACCCCAACTAGCACCACATAGATATAACTATATTATTAACTATATTTCCTATGCTTTACTTACTTCCCTGTGACTATTTTGTAACTACCAATTTGTACTTCTTGGTTCCTTCACCTCTTTGACCCAGTGCCCCAAAACCCTTCCCCTTTGGCAATCACCATTTCTCTCTCCATAGCTACCACGTCTGTTTTAATTCTGTTTGCACATTTCTTTTGTTCTTTAGATTGCCCATGTAAGATAAATCATATAGTATTTGTCTTTCTCTGACTGACTTATTTCATTGAGCATAATATCCTCTAAGTCCATCCATGCTGTCACAAATGGTAAGAGTTCATCCCTTTTTATGGTCACACTAGTGGTCTGGCACACAAACTCATGCACATTGAAAGGAAATTAATTAGAAGAAATACTTTAATATCGCTATTTGCACTTTCTCTATAATAGAAGTGTCAACCAAATTCACGATCGACAATGACCGATGGAAATACACGCATGTGATTGGCACCAGTGAGCGCTTTATATGTATCATGCATGGGCAAGTCAACTTAGCCTTTTATACATATAGAATGAATCTTTCTAGGGAAGATAATTCCTTAAGGAAAAAAGCATCTCATAAGTCCCTTACTTTTTTCCCCAGTCCTACCTTCCTCATGTACACCAGACTCAAAAATGTTATGAACCTTATATTTTACTGAGCACTACTATAATGTGCCAAGTACTGAGTTAGGCACTTTGACAATAATGGTTTTTATCCCTGCTCCCACCCCTCCTCTGTGGTTGGTGCTGCCACAAACTATGCCAGGGAGAGAGAGAGAGAGACAGACAGACAGACAGACAGACAGACACAGACCGACCTCACCCAAGGTCACACTGCTAGTAAAAAGTAAAAGAGGTCTTCAGGCTCCAGGGCCGGCATGCCAGGGCACCACGCCAGCTCACAAGTAACCTGTCTCAGTTCTGAGCTGGGGGCTTCTTGGCATGTCGGGGACAGTGGACAGCAGGTCC